CTCAATTGAAAAATGGGCACAGGATATGAACAGACACTTCACCAAAGAAGACATTCAGATAGGAAACAAGCACAGAAAAAGAACTGCTCAAAATCCCTAGCTCTCAGAGAGATTCAAGTCAGAACAACTATGAGATATCATCTCACCCCAGGAAGAATAGCAAAATTCAACAGAACAAAGAGCAAACAACAAATGCAGAGAAACTGGAACCCTTATTTAATGTTGGTGGGACTGTAAAATAGTGCAACCACTATGGAAGGCTATATTGGAGCTTTCTCAAAAAGTTGCAAATAAAAATACAATTTGACCCAGAAATTCCACTACTGGGAATATACCCTAAAGAAACCATTACCACCACCCAAGCAGATACATGCCTAAGTGCCCATTAACAAATGAATGGATAGAGAAACTCTGGTATATTCACACAATGGAATACTATGCAGCACTGAAAAACAAGGAACTCATGAAACATTATTCAAAATGGGTGAGCCTGGAGGACATTACGCTGAGTGAAATATATCGGTCCCAGAGGGACAAATGCTGCATAGTGCCACTGCTTTAAAACAAGACTGACATCAGAGTTGGGGAAAGATTGAGAAAAAAGGGGATACATAATGTATACTGCATTGAAACAAATGAGGGAGAGAACTGTTTAAAAGGGATCTATGATTACGTAATATTGTCATGACAGGAGTCCAGAACGAAGGCTGCACAGTGGAGTGGACTTGGGGGGAGGGATTGTATAACAATGAAAGAATTTTTCTTTTACTTTTCAAAGAGAAGAGCGAATTGAGAAGGAGGGGTGAGCAGGGAAAAAAGTGCAACCATGAATGACTGGACATCCAGTCTCTGTAAACTTTCATTAAAATTAATAAAAAAACCCCCAGACCTCTAAATTGTGCTTCATGTGTTTAGCTTTTCAGCCCCAAAGAAAACATTCAAGATATAGGAAACATCATGGAATATTGATTACATAGGCTTTTGGGGGGTTTGTGTGTCCCCTCGCAAACCCATCAATCTGGTGTAGTTTAGGGTAATTTTTAAAAAATGTGTGTGTGTGTGTGTGTGTGTGTGTGTGTGTGTGTGTACCATCAAATCGGATCTGACTGGTACAGGAGGAGATTGCCCCTCCTTCTCCAGCAGAAGGGTCACTTTTTTTTTTTAAGGGATCGTTTTTACAGTAATGGTTGTGGTCTAGGAATACAGCTGACCTTCCACATTGATCTTAACTAGTACGTTTCCAAGGAAACAGTGTTAGAAGAAATACTCAGAGTCATGACCCCACAGGAAATAGATTCTCATCTGTTGCTAGCCCTCCTTCCCACCCAGAAGCTTCTGGTTATGCACCCGGAGCCAAGATGCATGTAAAGTTGTATTTATGGAGGCATTCTTCATAGTGTTGTTGTCGTGAGACATCGACTTGGAACTGACCCATCACTGGCCCTCGAGTAGTTTTTCAGAAGCTATAAATTGCAGGGCCCATCTTTTTCCCCCCGTGAAGCAGCTGGTGGATTCAACCTATGGGGGTCTTTGAGTTGGCAAGGCCAGCCCAAATGGCAAACAACCCAGAGGGCCACCAGGATTTCAGGAAATCAGTTGTAACCCATTTGTGCAATGGAATGATCTGTACGAGGGAGTATTTGAATTTGTAAAGGGGAACACTTGTGGTGTCGTGTGTAACGTGGTAGGCTGCTTACCAGAAGGTCGGTGGTTCGAATCTAGAGAAAGATAGGCAGAATTGCCAGCCTCTTGATTCGCAGCCACGCCATTTGTGCCTCCTGGGCTCTGTAGATAATGGACACAATGGTCTCTAAGAGGCCAGCGCCAGCTTAGAAACTAGTTCCTGACCGTGTGTTAATATAACCAGTTCTCAGGAGCTGTCCAAGGTGGTAGCAGTGGTGAAAGTTTTATTTGATCCAACCGACCCTTTACATCCTGACAACTTAGAAACTATTTTTTAAAATTTTATTTTTTTATTTTTTTTTGGTGTGTGTGTGTGTACCGTCAAATCAGATCTGACTGGTACAGGAGGAGAATGTTCCTCCTTCTCCAGCAAAGCATCTGGTGGATTTGAACCGCGCACCTTTGGGACTGTAGTACACCTTCTTGCCACTAGGTCACCAGAGCTCGCCGAAACGATTTTTTTTTTTAATTCTTATAAACTAAATTTATGCTGGAATCCTTCTGACTCATAGTGACACTGTAAGACAAACTAGAACTACCCCAAATGGTTTCCAAAGCTGTAAATCTTTATAGAAGTAGACTGCTGCATCTTTCTCCTGTGTGGTGACTGGTAGGTTTGAACTGTCCACCTTGGGCTAAAAGCTGAAAAGTTTGTATTTTATCTATAAAACCCAGTTACCCATGGATGTGTATGTGGCAAGTGGGGATTGGTCGGCTTCTGACACTTCAGAATGACAGGAGATATTGCCACCCTCTTTTCCTGGCCCGCCTTGACTTCAGTGCAGGAAGGAGTTCTTTTCCGAGCTGAAAATTGTATTGCAATCATTGCAGATTCAGAAACAATGCAGAGAGGGTCCTTGTGCTCTGAGTCCAGTGGTTTGAGGTTGAACGTCATCCAAAGGAGCGGCGCGCCATCTGGTGTCCAACTCGTGAACTGCCCTGAGCTAGTATTCGGGTGTGTTGGCTTTTGGGGAGCCCGAGTTTTTCACCAGCCCTGGTTTTGCCATCCCTAGGTTTCTTTTTTAATTAATTTTAATGAAAGTTTACAGAGACTTTGGATTTCCAGTCGTTCATTGTTGAACTTTTCTCCCTGCCCACCCCTCCTCCCCAATTCGCTCTTCTCTTTGAAAAGTAAAAGAAAAATTCTTTCATTGTTATACAATGCCTCCTCCCAAGTCCACTCCACTGTGCAGCCTTCGTTCTTGACTCCTGTCATGACAATAATAACTAATACCTAATCATATAACCCTTTTAAACAGTTTTCTCCCTCATCTGTTTCAATGCATTATACATAATTTATTCCATCTTTCTCAATCTCCCTTCAACCCCGATGTCAGTCCTCTTTTGTAACAGTGGCATTATGTAGTATTTGTCTTTTTGTGACTGAGATATTTCACTCAGCATAATGTCCTCCAGGATCACCCATTTTGAATAATGTTTCATGAGTTCCTTGTATTTCGATGCTGCATAGTATTCCATTGTGTGAATATACCAGAGCTTCTCTATCCATTCGTTTGTTGATGGGCACTTGAGTTGTTTCCAACTCTTTGCTTTTGTGAACAAAGCCGCAATAAACACGGGTGTAGCCTTAGGTTTCTTGGACATCTTGACGTGGCATCTGACTCCCCCTGTTTGTGTGTGCACCTCTCTGTGCCTAATCTTCTCAAAGTCACCAGGCAGAAGACATGCCTGACCTCACGGGTCTAGTCCCAATGACACAACAGAGCCCTTATCTTTCAATGAGATTCCACGCACAGTCGTGCCGCTGTTGAAATGATGTTGGTCCTCAGTGATCCTGTTGCTAGGATTTCCTAGGCGTCATCTCCCCAGGAAGGAGCCCTGGGAGTGTATTACGTGTGTTACGTCTCGTGCTGCTAACCCAGAGGTTAGCAGTTTGAATCCACTATCCTCTCTATGAGAAAAAGGTGGGTAGTTTCATCCCATGAAGATTTGTTAGGTTGCTGGTGTCGTTGGCGGGCCCCACCGAGGCGACCCCAGCTCGCAGCGACCCTCTGAGCTGATCCTATGAGTTGCAGCATCTCTGAGCCTTGACCTCTCTGCAGCCTGCACCTTGCTCAAGGCCGTTTGGGCCCGTCTCTGTGTCAGTACGTCTCTTTGAGAGTCTTCCTCTCATCCGTTGACCCTCTGGTTTTCCAAGCTTAGTGTTCTTTTTCGGTAGCCTAGTGGCAAGAAGCCACACTGCAATCCCGAAGGCACGCGGGGAGAAGGACAGGCAATCTCCTCCCTTGAGGTTAACTGCCTCTGAAAACCTGCTGGAGGGTCAGCTGTGGGTTGGTTCCGACTGGACAGTACACAACAACGTCTTTCCAAGGACTGGCCCCTCTCTAACAGTGTGCCCCGAGCATGTCAGACAAAGGTTCACCATCCTTGCCTCCAAGGAGCACCTCAATTACAAGTCCTCTAAGACAGAACTACAGCCTAGGAGACTGGACAGACGGTTGCTATCAGGCACGGCCAGGATCCTCCAGGTCATGGGGACAAAGACAGTGCAGTCCTGGAGTCCCATCTTTGAGGAAAACCATATGGTTTCCTCAAAATACTAGGAAAGGATTTGATCGGCCTATGCACCTACCCTCCTCCTCAACACCAGAGAAAAACTCAGTTGGCATTTTCCCATTAAAAAAAAAAAAAGAGAAAAAGACCAGGATACGTAATTGGCTTTGCAGAAATAAAGTGTTGGGTTTTTTTTTAAAAAAAAAAAAATTTATTATTTTTGTGTGCTTGTACTGTCAAATCAGATCTGACTGGTACAGGAGGAGATTGTCCCTCCTTCCCCGGCAGAGCATCTGGTGGATTTGAACCGTGCGCCTCTGGGATTGTAGTTGCAGCTCCTTGCCACTAGGCCACCAGAGCTCCCCTAGAAATAAAGTTTTAAAATGAAAAAAGACCAGGGTAATATTCGTCTTTGTATTTCTCCCCACCAATACCTAGGAAAGGATTTGATTTTATTCATGTGGAGTTTTTCCCCACCTACAAAAGATCAGGAAAGGATTTGATTGGTTTGTGTGGAATATTTCCACCTACAAAAGATCAGACAAGGGTTTGATTGGTCCATGCATTTGTCATAGCAGAGCAGGAAAGGATTTGATAGGCCCATCTTGAGTCACATGTCCACTTCTAGGCCAATCTCTGTGATTGTCTAAGACCTGGATCCTGTGACTGTCAGGGTGGTGTATTAGAAAGCCCACCAGAACCACCTGGGGGATTGAGGACTGTTAACAAAGGAGGTGCTGAAGGGTGAGGTGAAGGGACCAGAGAGGTTCCCACACTCAGCCACAGCCCCTGTCCCTCACTCCATTGCCTTCCACCCCAGTTACTCAAACTCTCCCACGTTCAGCCCGCAACGCAGACTTCACCCTCTATGTCTTCCAGATCCTGGAGTGGGAGACCCGGCTCTTTGTCAATCAGAAAGGTGCCAAGGGGCCGGCGTTCTTCGCGGATCAGAAGTGCAAGGTCCGGAGGCGGATCAAGATCCTGGAGGACCAGCTGGACAGGGTGGGGCTGGCCTCTTGGCTTTCCAGCCCTCCCTGGCTGGGCTGCACTAGTAGGATGGCCCAGGACACAGAGATCAAGGGATAGGATCCCCAGAGTTGCAGGGTCCCCATTGGGAAGAAGACTGAGGCCCAGACCCTGGGAGGGACACGGCCTTGCTCAGGGTCCCCTTCTCAGGCTATGATGCACCCCCGGCCCCTTACTCCAGGCCATCTGCCGCTTTGACATCCAGCTGGTGAGGAACGCGTCGCTCCGGGAGGAGCTGGATCTGCTGCGGGTGGAGCGGAGACGCTATCTGAATGTGGACCGCAAATTGCACAAGGTCACCTGCAGGCAACCCTGGGGCCCTGGCTGCTCGAGAGGGAGCTATGGGGGTGGGAGCGGGGTCAGAGAACTTGTCTCCACCGGGGGCTTCCGCAGCACTGCCTACCTTTCCTGCTTGGGCCCCACTCAGGTCCTGGAGTGGAGACGCCCTATAACCAAGAGAGTAGCCTGATTTATATCAGCAGAGCACAGAGGGAGGGTTTTGAATATTGTCACCCAGGGCAATCAGTTAGCAAGTGAGGCCACTCACATCTGTCAGGGACCACTACAACCTTCCACGTTCTTTATGAAAAGAGGACGGACACTGTTTTCGTCCATGGTTTCCTCTGCCATCTCCCCTTCTCTCTCTCCATCCGTCTCTCTTTTCATTTTTCTATCCTTCGTCTCTCTATCTTTCTCTCTCTTCCTCTCTTCTTTCCTCCCTCCTTCACGGTCTCATTTTGAACTTTCATTTTCAATTACCCCAGACTTCAAGAAAAAGGTACGAGATTCCTCTTCCTTCTTTATTTATCTAATTTAAACTTTTTTAAAAAAATATTTTATTTCATTATTTTTTGTGTGTTCCGTCAAATCAGATCTGACTGGTACAGGAGGAGATTGTTCCTCCTTCTCCAGCAGAGCATCTGGTGGAGTCAAACCGTGCATCTCTGAGATTGCAGTTGCAGCTTCTTGCCACTAGGCCACCAGAGCTCACCTAATTTAAACTCTTTATGGTGATATAGGCAAACGCTTATGAAGCCAAAAGGTTCTCCATTCAACATCCATACGGTGTCTCTTTTGGTGGGTTGTTGTTATTTTTTTTTAATTGAGTAAAGTTGGTTTTTTTTCTCTCCCCCTTTTATTATTTGTGTGTGTGTGTGTGTGTGTACCGTCAAACCAGATCTGATTGATACAGGAGGAGATTGTCCCTCCTTCTCCAGCAAAGCATCTGGTGGATTCGAACCACACACCTCTGGGATTACAGTGCAGCTTCTTGCCACTAGGCCACCAGAGCTTGCTAATTTCAACTTTTTATGGTGATATAGGCAAATGCTTATGTAGCCAAAAGGTTCTCCATTCAACATCCATAGTGTCTCTTTTGTTGTTGGTTTTGTTTTGTTTTTTTAATTGAGTAAAGTTGGTTTTATTTCCCCTCCCGCTTTTATTATTTTGTGCGTGTGTTCCATCAAATCAGATCTGACTGGTACCAGGAGGAGATTGTCCCTCCTTCTCCAGCACAGCATCTGGTGGATTCGAACCACGCACTTCTGGGGTTGCAGTGCAGCTTCTTGCCACTAGGCCACCAGAGCTCCCTAAGGTTTTATTTTTTTAAAATGTACATTTGGTTGGACCTATTTATACATCTTCTCCAGCAGCTGGGGCATCACCACCTTTGGTGTTTCTGGTGTAAATGACTTGAGCTCTGTGTTTTGAAACCAGCTTGATAAGTCTTTTACTTAGCAGTTCCTGAAGGGCTGCCCTAGCCAGGGAACCCCGAATCTTCAGCCTTTCAGAGACAACAACTGGGGCTATAAGCTTATCGTTGGGAACTTCTTTACAACTTTTGTCATACATGGCTTTGTCAAACAAGACCAGGTTATTGAGCTTGTCTCAAACTTTGCCTTTGGACCACTTCTTTTTCTTGGTCTTGCCCCCAGATTTGTTCACTGGGTCTTTGTCCTTCTTGGTCGACTTTCTGGCATCTTTCTTCTTCTTGTCGTCCTTGGGCGGAATCGTTAAGCTCGGAGAGGAGCTACCACAAGTGCAGCCTTGTTACAATGTCAGATAAAAAGGAACAGTATCTCTTTTGTAGGATCTATAACAAGCCCTGATGTTAAAGCACTCTTCCCACCTCCTCCCTGTGGTTCCCATTTCCACTAGTCCTTTTCTAGCCCTTCCTGCCTTCTGAGGTTGGGTGTGTGTTTTTTTGTTGTTGTTGTTGATTGCATTTGAGTCAAGGATGGCTTATAGGGACCCCATGAACAAAAGGCCTGAAGCCCTTCCATAACCGTCGCCATTTGTCAAAGGTCACAGAGTTTCCACAGGCACGCTGTTTAGGAAGTGGATGCCACTCCTGCTTCCAGCCCTGGAGAAACACTTCCTTCTCTCCTAAGGCTGTTTGTTGTATCTCTTTACATCTCCTCTCCTGACCAGCTGCTCATTTTAAAGGCTCAAAGGGACTGCTCTAACCAGGCGGGTTCACAGCATGAAGGGGTGACCCAGGGGATCAGACTTTTCTTGTCTTTTCTTCAGGAGATCCAGCTGTTGAGGCAAGCGGTCAACACCCTCATGGTCTCCTCCACTTCAGCCTACAGTGTCAGGTAGGGCCCCCTCAAAGGCATTCGGGTGACAGGAAGCACACCTTTCTATAAGGCAGAGCCTGAAAGCTTTCCATGGCCCCGTCAGTTGGCAGGGAGGAAATATTATTGTTCATAAAGTGTCTCTGTTTGTGCATTGACACTCTGATGTCATGCTGTGATTCGGTTTATCCTGCCCATCTGGGACAGAGAGACCTCTGATTACTGTCAAAGACACACCAGACCCCATGCTGGCCGGTCCCTGAAGGGCTTCCTGGGCTGTGTTGTGGATGGAAAGGGGCTCCTTCCAGTGGCGCAGGCTGGAGGGAGTGGCACTAACCCACAGGCCGCGGGAAAAAGGTGGACGATCTCCTGCATGACTGATAGCTTCGTAAACGTAATGGTTGGAAGCAGGAATGGCGTCCACGTCCTAAATAACATGCCTCTGGAAACTCTGTGAGCTTTGATAAATGTCGATAGTTGTAGAGGGGCTTCAGGCGTTTTGTTCATAGAGTCACTATGAGTCGTGCTCGACTCGAGGGCAAATAACAACAAACATAATGTAGGGAGCTCTGGTGGCCTTGTGGGCAGAAGCTGCGCTGCCGTTCCGAAGGTACATGGTTCAAGATCACAAGCAGCTCTGCTGGAGAAAGCTAGGCAATCTCCTTCTGTGCAATTAATTGCCTTTGAAAAGCCTCTGGAGGGTCTAGCTAGGGTCAGTTCCAACTCTCTGGTACACAACAACAACCGCAAGGGAGGGACCAATTCAGACCCTCTATTTTCCGGGTAGTGGCCGAAAGCTTAACGTTCACCCCCCTCAGAGCTCCTTTGATTATCTTCCCAAAACCCCAAACCAAGCCTCTTGCCTTTGAGTCCATTGCAGCTCAGAGAGACCCTCCAGAACTGAGCCTGTCTCTGGGGGTCCCACTGTCTCTGCACTCAAGAGCCTGCAGCCGCAGAAGAAACGGAGCTCACCTGCCCCTGCTTCCTTTCTGCATCCCTGGGGGGAGCCCAGTGTGTGGTTTGTCCCCTCGCCATCTCTGTCTCCCTAACCCAACTTTCAATGCTCTTGACCTTGGAGTGGTTCTTCCCGCTTCCCTCCCCCACCCGACCTCCCAGAGAGGAAGCCAAGATCAAGATAGGGCTGCTCCGGGAGCGGGCCGAGAAGGAGGTGACTCAGAATGAGACGGAGGCCCAGACCTTGAAGCGCCAGATTTCGCACCTGGAGCAGCTGCACGCCTTCCTCAAGCTGAAGCACAACGAGCGGCCGCTGGACCCCGCCGTCCTGGAGAAGCAGGCGAGGCAAGGTGAGGCGTGGGCTGCAACCTCGGGGTCCCCAAGCTGGATCACCCAGAGGGAGAAGCAGGGGCTCATGGGCACAGGACAGGGTCCATGGGGAGGCGGGGCTCCACAGGATGGGACCTTAGGAGGGCGGGGCCTAGGAGGTCGGGGGCTCTGGATAGGGTAGGCGTGGGGGCGGGACAAAGCTGCGCAGTGTTATGCGTGGCCCCTAAGGGACGAGGGGTGGAGCATGGCTCCGAAAGGGGCGTGGCTTATAATAAGGGAGAGGCGGGGCTTGAAATGGACTAGGAGCCTGGGAGGGTGAAGCTCAGGAGAGGAGGAGGGAGAGGGGCAAAGAGGGATGATGGAAGAGGAGGAGGAGGGAGGAAGGGCATGCTTTGGGGGCTGAGACCTCTGAGAAGTGGGGGGTTAGGAGGCCTTGGTGCACCTTGCCTGTGCTCGGCCACATGAGGATGTCCAATGGACAGGACAACCCCCAGAGCCTTCACGACTCCATGTCCCCCAGCCCAGGAAGTGTCCCTCGGCCTCCGCAAGACCTCCCAGGAGAAGCTGGTGCTGCAATACGAGGAGGCCCTGAATAAGCTGTCCCAGCTGACCGGGGAGAGTGACCCGACCACGCTGGTGGAGAAGTATCAGGAGAGTGAGTGGGGCCCCAGGGGTTCTCCTTCCCCGCGCCCCAGAGGAATCCTTGTGCTTCTCTCCCCAAGCGTGCATCTGGGTGTCTCTTTGGGGTTCCCCAACTAGATCGCTTTCTCTCGCACTCTGGCTGTGTCACCTGATCCCTCTTGTGGGATTTCTGCTCCTCCTTCTCCTCGGCCCTCTCTTCCTCCATTCCCCTGCTGTCTTCCTGTCTTCACACCTCCTTCCCGTCAATCTGCCTTGTGTGCATCTCCCTCTGGGCCATGCCTTTCCTTGCTCTAGTTGAAGAACGGAACTTTGCCGAGTTCAACTTCATCAACGAGCAGAACTCAGAGCTGGAGCATCTGCGGGAGGAGATTAAGGAGGTGAGAGAGCCTCCTGAAGAAACCCCTCCCTCCATTTCCCCTCACCACCTTTGCCTTCTCTCTCTGGTTCGCTCCTACCGCCTCCCTTTCCTTGCTCTTCTTTTCCTCCCCTTGAAAGTCACCCCTTTCCTAGTGCCCCTTTCCTTGAAGCCACGCCCACACACGAACCCCCGCCTCATCTCTCGAAGCTCCGCCCATCTTCTTACAGCCTCTCTCCTCATAGGCTCTGCGGCTGTCATGCAGGGCCCCGCCCACTGCACACAACCACGCCCACCTCACAGCGCAAAACCCCGCCTCTCACACACTCCTGACCCCGCCTCACACCCCCTGGCCTTTCCCCACTTCTGCTCCAGGTCCAGACCCCCAGCCCAACGCCGTGCCCTTCCCTGCCCCTTCCTCCCAGATCCAGGAGTCCATAGTGAGGGTCCAGGCAGATGCAGAGGCCCAAAGCTTACAGAGAGAGCAGCAGCGGGCATCGATGCAACAGCGTGTGGACGAGGTGCACGAGGAGGCCGTGACCCTTGACAAAGAGTTCCAGGAATTGCGGGAGCTCTTGGAGAAGCTCAAGGCCGGTGGGCACCCCCAGCAGCTGGCCCCGCCCCACTTCCCTTATGAGAGCATGGGGTGAGCGTGTGCGTGGTCCTTCCTGAGGTCCTTGTGATGGGTTTTACCTGCAAGAGTCTATCTGTCCAACTTTCATCCATCCCTTCTTTACCAGTCTGGGTTGTGTTCATACAGCCGCTGATTCTGTATCTATCCTCCCACTGTCCATCTGTCCTATAGCAATTCATCCAGTGTCTGTCCATATATCTGTCTTATATCTATCCATTCACTCATCCACTATCCATCACATATTTAAGTAGTGTTCATCCATCCATCCATCCATCCATCCATCCATCCATCCATCCTCCATTATTTATCTCTCCTATATCCATCCAAACATCCATCTAGGATCTGTCCATCCATCTATTATAGATCTGTCTATCCAGTGTCCATCTATCCTGTTTTCATCCATTTATCTAGCTATCCAGGGTCCACCCATCCAGCTTATATCTCCCCCTCTAAGGTTGCTGTGAATCATAGTCGACACGATGGCACACAACAACAACAACAACAACAACAATAACATCTCATGTCCATCCGTTAGTAGCTGGAAATTATGGACTTGGAGACGGAAATGAGGCTAGAGATAGAACGACTGAATTGTACGCACTTAATCATTTCTTCATAGAAAAACCTTATTTTAAGAATCACAGATGGCAGCCGTACCTGTTGGGCCGTTCAGGAATCAGATTGATGACATCTGTGGAAAGAATCATTAGAGAAGCTCAGTATCAGCATTCAAAACCAGACCAGCTGCTGACTGTGGAACAGACCATCAGTAACTCATGTGCAAGTTCAAATTGAAGCTGAGGAGAATGAAAACCTGTCCTTAAGAATCACAGTATGAGGGAGCTCTGGTGGCCTAGTGGCAAGAAGCTGCACTGCAATCCCAGAGATACAGGGTTCGAATCCACCAGATGCTCTGCTGGAGAAGGAGGGGCAATCTCCTCCTGTAGCAGTCAGATCGAATTTGACGGCACACACACACACACACACACACACAAAATAATAAAATAAAAATTTAAAAAATCACAGTATGACTTTGGGTCTAACCCACCCAAATTTAAAAATAATCTCAAGAATAGGCTCGAGGCATTGGACACTAATGATCAAAGACCTAGTTTCAGGAATGACATCAAAGATATTACCCATAAAGAGAGCAGGCAGTAATTACAGAGACAGGGGTGAAAGAAAAGACCCAAAATGGGTATCAGAAGAGACTGAAAATTGCACCAGACCATCAGGAAGCCAAAACAAAGAGATGAGATGAAATAAAAGAGATGAACAGAAGATTTCAAATGGCAGCTCGAGCAGACAAAGGAAAGCATTACAATGGAATGAGCAAAGAGCTGGCGTTAGAGAAGAAAAAGGGAAGAACTCACACAGCATTTCTCAAACTGAAAGAACCGAAAAACAAATTCAGTTGCAGTATAGAGAGATAGTATCGGAAAGACCGTGAATGATCTAGGAAACATCAAAAGAAGATGGAGGGAATACACAGTCACTGCACCGAAACCCCAAAATTGGTCAACGCTGAAATATTTCAGGAAGTACCATGTGACCGAGGGCCATTGGTAGGGAGCTCTGTGGCAGGGAGCTCTGCTGGCCTAGTGGCAAGAAGCTGCAGTGCAATCCTGAAGGTACACAATTCGAATCCACCAGATGCTTCACTGAAGGCTGGGCAATCTCCTTCTGTGCCAGTCAGATCTGATTCGATGGTACACACACACACACAGACACACACACAGACAAAGACACACAGACAGACACACACACACAGAGACACACACACAGAGCCATTGGTGATGAGGGAAGAAGTTCAAGCAGCATTGAAGACAATGGCAATAAAATAAGGCCCCAGAAATGATACCAATTAACATGTTTCAACTAACAGATTCAGGCCTGGACATGCTCACTGGTTTACACCAGGAAATTCTGGATGGAAGAGGTCCTTATTTATTCTCATTCCCAAGAAAGGGGACCCAAAAGAATGTGGAAATTATCCCAGAGGCACACGGTTCAAATCCACCAGATGCTCTGCCAGAGAAGGAGGGAAAAATTCCCTCCTGTACCAGTCAGATCTGATTTGATGGTACACGCACAATAAATAATAATAATAATAATAATAATAATAATAGAATGTGGAAATTATCAAACAGTATAATATCACATGCAATCAAAATACTGCTGGAGATCAGCTAAAACCAGCTTTTAAAAAACCGTTGATAACTGCTAGATGTTCAGGCTGGGTTTAGAGGAGGAAGTGGCAACAGGATATCATTGCTGGTGTCAGATGGATCTTGGCTGAAAGCAGAGAATGTCAGAAGATTGTTTATTTGTGTTTTACTGAATATTCAAAGGCATCTGACTGTGTGGATCATCAGAAACTGTGGCTAACCTTGAGAAGAATAGGAATTCTAGAACAATTAATTGCGCAGGAGAGGAAGACCCTCTATGAGGTGGATCGATTCAGTGACTGCGGTATTCGGGATGGGTGTGTCAGAGGCAGTGCGATTGGCACAGGACAGAGCAGGGTTTAGGGCTGTTGTACATAGGGTCGCTATGAGTTGCAGGAGGCACATAACATCAGTGTCCCTCCATTCATTCTGTATCTACCCATCCACTGTCCATCCATCCAACCATTTTACATTCACTTGACCAGTGTCCAGCCATCCATTTTATACCCTTCTAGTGTCCGTCCATCTGTCCTTTTTCCATCCATCCGTCCATCCTTCCTGGTGTTGCTGTCTTCTTTCCACGTGTGTCTGTGGTCTGACTGGAAGTTGACTCTAGGGGTAAGTTCAGGGCCAGGACCTGAGCAGTGGCTAAGGGCCCTGGTCTTGGACGTTCCACCATCCTCCATCGGACCAGTAAGGCTGGTCTTTCACTTTTAAGTTTTGGGATGTGTCCTCCTTCCCCCCACCCCCACCCCCATCACGACCTGCTGTGGTTGCTTTCAGAGCAGCTTGGCAGCTGGGTCAATTCTTCCTAGAACTTTCCTAAGTTCTCCTTCTGTCTTTGAGGCTCGGTTCCTGATCTCACGGAAGGGGGACCCCTTCCCAGAGGCCTGAGAGGGAGGGCGGACTGACTGACACCCTGTGGGGTGCTGCTGGGTGACCGCCGCCTCCCTCCACCCAGACCTTCAGCTCCTGTTCACCAAGGCCCAGTGTGACAGCTCAGCCATCAATGACCTCCTTGGGGTCAAGACTCAGATGCGGGACCGGGACATTGGCCTCTACCTGAGTCTCATTGAGAAGCGGATGATCCAGCTGCTGGTGGTGCAAGCTTTCCTCAACTCCAAGGTGGATGGGCAGGCAGGTGGTGGGAGGCCTCAGAGAGGCCCAGGCCCGTGGACCCGGCGGAGAGGCCCGTGGGCCTGGGCAGAGCTGACCGCTGCCCGCTCCTCTTACAGCACAGCTACACTTCCACCAGCCTGTATGATGCAGCCCTCATGCTGCTGGGCCAGGGCCCCGATGATGTCCGGAGGAAGGTGACCCCACCTCAGGTCCCCGACAATCTGTGAGGAATAGCCCAAGGGGGGGGTGGGAGAGCCCGAAGGGACAGATGACACACAGGGGCTGAGGGACACTGGGGCATGAGTGGGCAGGCTGAGAGGCATGAGGGCAGCGGGTGCTCTGGGGGACACACAGAGGGAACACCCTCATTTAGGGGACTAAGTTTTTTTAAATTTTATTTTAATAATTTTCACAAACATTTATAGAGATTTTGGATTTTCATTCATTCATTCATTGTTGCACTTTTCTCCCTGTCCCCCACCCCACCGGGACTAAGTCTTTTTTTTTTTTTTAATTTATGTTGGGAGCTCTGGTGGCCTAGTGGCAAGAAGTGGCACTGCAATATGGGAAGCCAAACTTTATACCAAATATTATTATGAAAATCCTCGTTCAGGAATTGAAGGAATTGCAGATTTATAAGTTAGGATTTCTCTTGTGGCAGATCCCAGAAAATGAGCTGTTTGTTTCCTGCAGACAGGAGACAACTAGGGCCCCCCAGAGTGTTACTTCCTGGGAAATACTTCCTGAGCCTTAGGTTGGCAATAGAGAAAAATTCAGCTTCATTGACAAGGAATTCCTTTTGTTATTTGCTGCCCCCGATTATCAATAAATACACAGAGAAACATGACTTGGGGTCTTCAGTCGAGAACTGCTGGCCCCCTGTTTGATGCTCTCTGCTCTATCACATTCCTGGCTGTTTGTCTCTTTATTAATAATTATAAAATTATTCCATTCTTAGGGACCCTCCGTCTGCAACACTGCAATCCCGGAAGTGAGCAGTTCAAATTTACCAGACGCTCAGTTGGAGAAGGAGGGACAATCTCCTCTACCAGTCAGATCCTACTTGACCGTACACACACACACACACACACACACA